AACTTTTCTTCTCCTTAGTCTTCTGTTCTCTGTTTGAGTACATATTCATGTTTGGTATCATTATGGTGTTTAGAATAATTTGTCAATTGGCGATAACCATTTTCCAGGAAATCTGAACATAAGGAAATGGAATAAAAATACAGCAGGATTTCCTCCTTTTCAAAACTACACATGTTAAAAGATTCTCCTCCGATTCACATTCCATGGCTTCACTTGATCTGTCTGATCCTTTGAAACCTGGGTTTCTCTCCATAACAACTCCTTTGCTGGTCATGTTACAAGTAATAAAGATGATCAATCTTCAAATGACATTTAGTATGATTGCACATTGCTCAAAATGTCCATGTTCATCAGAAGAATTAAACTGGTGGAGAACCACTTCTTATTCAGAGGAGTAGAACAATGGATAATGCAATGGATTTTCCTGAATCTGAAAGCCTGAGGAGCCAACCTTGCTGCCTGTATGATACCAAATTTTGGTATGTTTTGGTAATATTACCATGAAAAAAGTATTATTAACTTTTTCTTACCAGAATGCAAAAATTTGGATGTGTCAAAGCATTTTTATTCATGCTGTCATTGACGATTTGTTAACTTACTGGAAGATGACAGGATTGTAGAAGATCGATTTTATGAATAGGTTTTTGTCCAAAATGATAAAAATGAAATTTCCTCTACCACATGGCCTAGAGGAGACCAGTATGTGAGAAGATGGTACCTTTCTGAAGATTTTCATCCTCATTTTTTTTTGTGCAAAATATGCAAAAAAGCATACACCTGCAGTATTCTGTATGCATTCCATGTGTTTGTGTTGTGTGAACTACAGTATTCCGCATCACTTGTGGTTTTCTGCAATAGTGGTGTGAGAATAGTTGTAGATTGATTTTCTTTGCACCATCTTTCATGGTTTCATGTTAGGCACACATTCCATGGAGACAGACTCATTTTATGGGAAAAGGGCAATTGAGTCATGGAGAAACCCATATTAGCGACTCGTTTTTCTTATCACGCAGTAACTGTTGATGGGTAATGTACCTACTGATCTTATTTCCAAACCATTTGAATGCCCCGTTTGTCTTTGGTTGGTCCATATCGATCGGGACTGAAGCCTAGATGTGGAAAAATGGTGCAAAAATCAACATTCTGGTGTCAACCTTAGGAAAGCATTTGGATACTATTTCGTTGCTCGTTCTGCAAGAAGAGCTTTTATCGGTCAGATTACTGATCTAATGCACGTAAACCTCACACGGCCGGATGTCAGAAGGTCGTGGCGTATCACGACAGGAGTGCAAAGGCCTTTAATCTGAGGAAAGTCCAAGTACTGTATTTCTATGCCTCCTCGACTACTACGAGTTGCAGCATCGTTTCGGCTCGATTATTTCCAATGTTCGTGAGATGTACCAGACTTCTCGCTCGGAAAGCCGTCTCACGCCTCTCGAACACATCCACGCACATCCACCCGTGCATCTGCACGTAACGTCCCACGTTGAGAAACCTAATCCCGAAACGATTCTCTCCCGCAGACGGTGGAGCACGTCCAGGACTACACTTGGTGCGGGAAGACCGCGACCCACATGAAGCTGTTCTTCTGCGGGGCGTGCGACCACCGGGCCCACCGCAAGGACCAGTCGTTGTCCCACTCGAGGAGGCACACCAAGCCGTTCCGGTGCGGGACCTGTCACAAGGGATTCGCCCAGAAGGTTCTCTTGACGACGCACATGGCCAAATGCAATTATTGAGTGAACGCACTGCGTTCCCGAACGTCGTTCTGCGTTCTTGCGTTCGGGAAGGTGCAAGTTCGGCGGTGTCTCCTGGCTTTTTTTGTACATACAAATATCAATGTATGCTATATGTGGTTTCGTTCTTGAGAGTTTTTTTAAATTTTGGCTCCCTTTTTTGCCATTTTTTTTAAACCCCTTGTCGCCATTTACTTGGGGTGATCACATTGATCTTTGAAGCACTTGTGGTTCCATTCTCGTGTTTTCTGGAGTGAACCATTTTCGTACCGATAGTTTTGTTGAATTCTTTTTAGAAGGCTCGGTTGGGATGATGGTGAATATTTTTTTTTCCGAGAAAACGCCATGCATGTATCGTCACTTTGATGCCATGAGATCATAACTTCCGAGAAACATCTCTGACTTTCAGGAAGAAGTGCAAGAGTCGATCGAAAGATTTAGAATTCATTGTGAGAATACCTTTTATTTTTCAGTGATACGATCCTCATGAAAGCATTTGCCTTGGAATCACGCTTTTTTTTTCCTGCTAGAAACTAGGACGAAGACAATTTTCTACTGACGTCCTCGAGGCACTTTCGGCTCGAAATTCGTCAAACGGTGATCTCATCCGCGAGACTCGAAGCGTCGAAACGGGTACGAGCGACAGGACGCCAGATCTCGCGGCGAACGGCTCAGGACATCCAGTTCGCCGGTCGCGGTGTGCCCTTCCCGGGATGCTTCGAGTCGTGCGCGTGCGGCCGCGTCGCGTCGCCCGCGATGACGCGTGCCTGGAACCCGACCCGTCCGTCGGCGTTTCCGGGAGGATTCGCGACCGAAATCAGGCGATTGCAGCCGAGACTCCCTCCGCCGTTCGAGCCGTCCGCCAGCGATTCGCTACTCCTTGCCGTTGCCATACCTCGAACTTATGTGTGTGGCTCTGGGATTCGGCAGTTCGTCATAACTTTCGTCAGAAAACGTTCACCGGATTAGGACTACATTCGGTGGTGATTTTGCATCCAAATTTGCACGATCCATTCCGTTCGCCGTTTCGTCGTGGGATCCCTCCTCGGGGCTGTCGAAATTCATTCTGTAGCGGGGGTTCGCTGCGTTTCCATCGCTTCGATCGTCGAGGGATCGAAGAGGGATTAAAGGGATCCAGCTCTCATCCGTCGTGATGACGCGATCCGTGAAATTTCGTTGGATTTGCCGCGTTTCGCGTCGGCACGGAACCGGCAACGCCTGCATCGACTTTGCTCCCGCGCAGTTTGTCGGACGAGATCCGCTCAAATGTGCCGCGAGATTGGGCAATTTCGACGAACGCGCGTCTTCCACTCCCCCGGTTTCCGGGTTTTCGTCAGAAGTCTTGCCTTTTGGCCTTCGAGAAGCGACTGCGTCTTCGCGGATTCTCATCTGTGGCGTAACGAGGCCCCTTCCCCACTTTCCCCCCAGGATAAGTTTGGAAAATTCTAGCCAACCCCTGCCCCCCCCCCCCCCCCTCCCTTTTTGGCTGCACCGACTCTCTGCGACCCCCCCCCCCCCCCCCCCCCCCCCCCCCTCCCTTTTTGGCTGCACCGACTCTCTGCGGGCAGGAAATTGACGCTTCCACTTGTGAACGGTGTCGGTCGGCAAGGCAATCATCCCCACTCGCTTCCTTCTTATGGCGATCAATCTCTACGAATGTCAAGGGCTTCTCTCGGCGCAGCTCTTAGTGTTTTTCACTCGAGTTCGACACTGTTTAGCTTTAGAGTTAGCTGCGGTACTGTAGCTCCTCGATTGTGATATGCATATTCTCACCCAGTCTAGAAAAATACACCTCAAAATCAAATCGCCAAAATCGTCTCATCACCGTCGCAACAACGAACCGACTGGACAAAAGAAAGACGAGGCAACCACCGATCCTGGAGATGGTCACGCACACGGGGTTGGATTTCTGATTTGGGAAATTCCGTGTTTTTCTCTAGTTTCTCCCAGAGAGAAAATCGGTGGCAATCACGATTCGAAGCCCGACCCTCGAGTTAATTCAAGTCGGAAGTCAGATGAAGGCTCGGCAGTCTGCAGGGAGCCCACTGCCACTGTTCCGTGATAAGTTCTACCTCGTAACCCTGAGGAAGCAAAGCATTGTATAAGACAAAAAAATTCATGGTAATCCGCTTTTCACATTTACGTCTCGATGAATCTTGCCGATCCATTCACCACCACGATCTCGCAACACCTGGAATCTCCGCCCGCGTGGTGATGCTCCATGACGCTAGATGGCTCTTGTCAGAACCGGAAGCGTTGCTCGTGTCTTTCTCTCTGGCTCTTGGATGTTCAACATTTTCGCTGACTGGTTCACAGCGGTGGTTTGTCTGGTCTCGGCGTAGTTTAAGGGAACATGTCTTCGTTGCCCACTCACATGTAACTTGGGCCTACGTTTTGGTCCCCGTGAGACGGGTTGCATGAGGTCTTGGTTTCCTGATGCCGAAAATCCTTCTGTTTTCACTTCATTTTTCATCTGACTCGGACACTCGTGCATGGGATATTCATTATGTATTTAAGTCCTCCTTGTTAATCCCTCTTTAATGCTTTTCATAGTCAATTAATTTTTAGGTCAGGACCATCATAACAGGTGCACCAAAAGCCAACTCAATTGCCGTCCCAGGTTGGACCTAAAAGTTAGGCCTTGTCAACAGGTAGTCCATTCGCCCGAGTTTGTTAAGTTCGGTTGGAGTTTATCTCAATGGGGAGTTCCAGTTGAAAGAGTTTGGTTGGCGTAATTTTACAATTGCTTCCCACACCTGATGATAGGGATGGGGTAGTTGCAAGTGTTATTGCCCTATGAAAATTGAGGTTGAGGGAAGGCCTAGCTTACTGAGTGGTTGTACAAGTCGGCAAAGCAGCCATGCATGTGCATAGAAAAGAGTGTGTGTGTCCATGGTGTGAGCTGAACTTGAGGGCAGAGAGGCCTAACTTGGGCATATGTTCCAGGGATCTTTGCAAGATGGTGGCAAATTAAAAACTCATCTTTTCTAAATCAAAATAGTTGAAGTTGGAAAAGTCTGCTGTCTTATGTTTGTGTAGAAGATGCTTTATTGGATAAGACAGTTGACTTGCTCTGATGTGAGTGTCCATCACATATGACAGATGACAAGGATGGCACTTGGGATAGAGTACAAAACCCTTTCTCAACGTCACAAGTTGCCTAAGAGTATCCCAAACTTTCTTGGGAGGATATACTTTAGTGTACATTGCCATTTCTGTGCCAATAGCAGTTATGATATAAAGATCCAATTCTCTTTATCCTACAGGGGAAGGTTGAAGTGACATATTCAGTAGTTTCAACCTTACAAAGTTGCAGAGATGCCTGTATACAATGTGAAGTGGCATGCTCATCATGCAGAGACAGTCCAAAGCTTTGAGAATCTTCGTCATCAGGAGTCATTCATAGATATCACACTCTTTTGCAATGGACAGTTTTTGAGGGCCCATAAACTGGTGCTTGGCGCATTGAGCGGTTATTTTGAACGGATTCTGATACGGGATGGACCAGGAACTTCATTGATCCACTTCTTTGGAATGGACATGTATATTTTGAGATTTCTGGTAGAGTTTATGTACACTGGGGAAGTGAAAGTTCCATCTGATGATATAGAGAAGTTCTTTGAATTTGCTGAAAAGTTGGAAGTAAAGGGATTGACAGGAAACAGGTCAAAAAGTAGTACCACAGTTTCAAATGGATCCAATGGAGTCACAGTACCCCCAGCAAGAGTTGAGGATGCTGTGGGTCACAAACGCAAGAGTACTCATCAGTCGTGGCAGAAGTGTGATGGATCAGTGGTGCCACCCAAACTTCAAAGATCTCAAATGCCCAGAACAAGGCAGGACTGGGTTGCATATCCTTCTCAGTGGGCAGATCAAGTAGGTTTCCCCTTTTTGTTTTGTTTTGTTTTTTTCTACAGTAGGAAGGTGACCAGGCCTAATGCCTAATATTTCAAAATCATTGTTTTGGGCTTTCACATTAGCTTGGTTCTCTTTTTTTTTCAGGTGCTTTCTCCATCCCAAGTTGGACCACTTTGTTCTGAAGCAGAGGAGAAAGAGGTTGAGAAGGTGGAAGAGAATTTGATCAAAGTTCAAGAAGAAATAGCAGGCAACAATATGGAAACTTTGGAAACCACTGTACCACTGCATGCAGAGTTTATTGAAGTTGTAATATAATAGCATGCAGTAGTAACCCATCACTCTGTGTAATTTTGATCTTGAGGGTTTCTAGAAGAAGCCTGCTAGAGTAAATCCCCCTTGGTTTGCTCTTGAACTTGATGTATGCTGTCTCAGATCATGACATGGTAGGAGAGCAATATATGCCAGCAGAGCATGGGACTTGGAATTTTCACCATCTCCTATGTCATCTTATATTAGATCTAGTCATGGAGTACACAATACCCAACACCCAGATCACGTACCCATACCGTGCATTGCAAATAAATATTACTTGAAACTTAAAATATTACCTATAATGTCCCTCTGTGTTGTTTAAAAAATGTTATGAGCATATTAAAAAGTAAAAGAAAAGAAAGACTGATGGTTTCTGCTCATCAGTTCTATCTTTGCTGCAAAAAAGTAATTGATCTCAGTCTATGCTTTGAAAATATTTTGTATTTAATTTATGTTCTGAAGTATCTGCTAGAAGTTGACTGGGAAGGTGGTGGATGAGCATATTTGCAGCCATGAGTAGCATCATTTTTTAAGTGCTAGGTCCTTTGATTCTTTAAATATATATATATATTTTTAGAGGTATCTGAAGTTCCAGCATGGACATTAATAACTGGCAACCTATTTGATTCAGCAGTTATCATTGATGTAATGTTTTCCTCATGACTCCATGCCAGTGGTAATCCTTTAAATTATTTAGTAGTCAGTTGCCATCTTTTGAAATCCAGGTAGGTTTTTTTTTTTCCTTTTTAATATTGCATCTAGTAATGGCAGGGAGAGGTGCTGAGAAACACCTTATTCCACTTCTTACCTGAAAAGTATTCAATCTCTTGTTTCTTTTTCCCTTGGGCATATACTCACTTGATAGCAAGCTGTACTGCATACTACATGGAGTTCAAGAGCAAAAAAGTGGAACTGATAAGAGAACTTAGTAGTTTTGTTTCTGAAACCTTTTTGCCAGTAGAATTACTTAGAGAAGGGAAGGAGTTTTATTACTTTTGCCTGCTAACACTTTTATTGCTCTTATCTTGGTTAACATAGGGTTTATGTTGATGTGTTTTTAAACTTAGTCTTGGGAGTGCTTCCTACCAATGCATGTTCTCTCTTTTTTATTTATCATTTCTCCATCATAGATTCTAAAGATAGGCATAATCCTCACTTAGAACAAGTTTGTTCCCTGTCTAGGATGATCAGTTAGATGAACTGAGCTCTTATCATGTTGAGGGCACTGTAGAAGACACCAAGCCACAGGATATTTCCAGAAGCATTGATCCCCAGGTTAGTATGCACAATAATTCCTGTATAGTCAACCCAATGGGAAAGGAAAATAAACAGAATCCTTAAAATATTGCTGATATTCAGATTTCACTAATTTTGCTGATGCATTTTCTCTGTCTTAGCATGTAATCATGAAGAACCAGGCAAGCTCACCCCCTCCCACCAAACCAGTTCCCATGAAGGGGCTTGGGTTATAGTGAACTTTTTCTTTCATGGTCAACAGCATGTGATTTCCATGCAAATAAAAAAATACAGATATGAACTGTAGAAGTGAGATGAAGGCAAATCAAAGTATAGGGTGGCACACAAAATGCTTCACATTTCATTAACCTGTATTTTCATGATTTATTAAGTTAGAAAATTAAATTATATTATATATTATGATAGACTAATTTGAAAAGTTTTTCTTGTTGAAAGAGTCATTTGAAGTGTTCACTGTTCCTTTGGATAACCTGTCTGTAACATACAGCAGTGTTTTAAGTAGCCTTGTTTTTAGGAGTTTCTTGCATTATGCCTCTGAGTGCTGTAATAAAAGAGCATTTGAGTTCATTAATGGTGTGTGCATTTGTGGAGAATACCTTTTCTTTAAGGAACCCCCTTTTAAAAAAAAAATCTGCCAGTCTGGAGGTGATGCTAGTCATGGGATGTCCTCTCTCGTATTGATAACGCTTCCTCTTCAAACTTATCTATGATATTCTTAATCATTGGATTTGATGTTTTATCAGGAAGCTCTCGTCTATGTTCTCTCTTCAAAGTAGCATGTGAAGGCATTTCAATTAATTTATGCATGATGCACATCTTTAGCTCTGTTTTTTTCCTGATATAATGCCTTCTCTTCAGACTTATCAATGATCTTCTCAATCATTGGACTTGATGGAGGTGTTTTGAGTATGAAAGGGGACATCTCGTGGTCAGCACCATCTCTTGATCTAAGATTGCCAGTTTTTTTTTAAATAGGGTTTCCTTTAAGAAAAGGTGTCCTCCACAAATCCACGCACCATTGATGAACTCAAACATTTTGTGGTTACAGTGCTCAGAGGCATAATGCCAGAAACACAGAACAAGGCTATTTAAAACACTACTGTACATTACAGACAGATTATTCAAAGGAACAGTGAACACTTTGAGCATGTCTTTCAACAGTGAAAAAATTTGTTGAGTTTGCCTGTCAGGTGACACGTAATTCAATTTTTCTATCGGATTAAATAATCAAACTACAGGTTAATGAAATGTAAAACATTTTTGTGCACCACTCTGTATAAGGATCAGTGATCAAACTCTCAATAAGCCATGTAGGAATATTTTCTTATATTCAGGGTTTCAATTCAGGAACTTCTATGACTAAGCACCATTCCCTACTGGTGACTGATGTCAGCAGCCTCACTGATTGCTTTACAGCAATGGTGCAGAAGTGCTTTAACAGTAACTCTGAAATGTTACTTGTTAGCAGGAGGAATGAAAGCAATTTGGACTAGCCTATTCTAAAAGTGGCCCTCCTTTCAATGACTAGACAGGAGATGGGATGCAGTGAGTTGATTGACAATTGAAGGATGGTAGGAAAGTTAAGATATGCAACATTGCTATATACTGCCACCCACCCACAACAATGAATGTCAATTACAAGGATACTGGCAGCTTTTACTTGAGATATGACACCCTGATTTCTTGACTTAAGCTAAACTCAATGCATGTACTTTTGAGGTTGAGATCCAAGTAGGATGACAGTTATTCATGTCATCCTTGCTGAGAGCAAATTTCAAACTTTCCATAAAAAATTGTTTTGATTTGAATTCTGCCCCCAAGAGAAGAACCTGGCTTGTGTCTTTGCCACAATACTGCCTGCTTACCATTTTTCACAGTGATCACATCCATACACCATATTGATGTGATCACTGTCCATAAAAGTATGATGCAAAAATAATTGTCATAATTCAGGAGCAAATTATTTTATGGACATGAAATACCCCATGTATAAACTCATAACATGTACATTTTTTGTGGTCATATCAGTCCTCCACAAGTCCGTCTTGCTGACGACAGAATTCCCAGCTGTACGAGAGTGCTGCCCATAGGTTCTCTAACATTTCCTGCATAATGCTGGTGAATGCTTCCTGCATGCAGTTCCTTTGGCCTGTCACATCACGCAGTCTCTAGGCATACGCTTTTTCTTTTATATAACCCCCAGTCGAAGAAATTCATAGTGCATGAATACCTGACACGGGTATTCCCAGACAGGATGAGGGTGTGCAATTCCCTGGCCAGCAAACTCTTCCGATCACACTCACATTGACACCTTCATCTGGGTTTATATCAAAGAAAAGGTTATGCCTAGAGACTGTGTGATATGACAGACCTAAGGAACCACATATAGGAAGCATTCACCAGGGTCACACAAGAAATGTTAGCTAACAACGTGGATGGGCACTCTCATCCACTGGGAATTTTGTCATCAGGGAGATGGTGGACTCGTGGAGGACTGACATGAATATTTCTGACAAAAAACATACAGGTAGTGAGTTTATGCATGGGGGTTTTGTGGCAATAAAGTAATTTGCTACTGAATTATGTCAGATTATTTTTGAGTCATACCTTTATGGACACACTGTATTTTATACAACCAAGATGTGAGAGAGTAGATAGGACTATAGGTAATCTCTTTGCAGGAAAGGAGACCAACAAAGAAGGGCAGCATTGGTTCCTCTCCAATTCCTGAACCCTGGCACAGGAGCCCCATCTACTCTGCCCCAAATCTGGTATTGACTGCTCTGGAGTGTAGTCTGAATTAGCTTGTGGAAACCTGTTGTACATATACAAATAAAGTAAAAATAGTAATGATAACCATTTTGATTTTTTTTATGAAAAAAAAGCATTGTTTGAGGAAGGAAGCAAGGATTTAAATATGTTCTTTGGGGGGGGGGTTCCATCATTTGTCCAGTGACTGCACAGCCACATGAGTTAGCCATAAATTTGTTTACTTGTGCCCTGGGTATTGGTCCTATTTCTGCCTATCCCCCCTCCCTCCCACCCACCCACCCCATCAAATTCCTGCTTTCATGGTTATTGACTTGTGAAGGACTTTGTTTTGTGTGCAGCAGGACAAGAACCAGTTGGTTGCCCAGAGTTCTTATGCTGATGGCACTGCAGAAGAACCTGAAATACCCCTGGACTTTCCAGCAGAAATTAATCCTCCGGTTAGAATGTGCTGTACTTCAAAGAAATACTGCTGGTTTTTATTTAAACCCATAAGGAAAATTTACATTTGTCTCCAAAATATTAGCTGATTTTGACAATTTTCCTGTTTTTCACTGGTAATTTCTTTGCCTCACCTTATACTAATACCAGTATTGAGCAGGAGTTTTTTCCATGTGCAGGATGAACGCCTATCAGATGCCCAAAGTTCTCTTGCTGACAGAAATGTAGAAGATCCTGAACCCATGAACATTCCTGCAGGAGTTGATCCCAAGGTTAGTATCAGTGGAAACTTGTCCTTCCCATTTCAGAAGCTAAGAAGTTACATGCTTCAGTGGGGAGTTGATCAGCACCTAAATTGGGAACAAGTACTGTAGCAGAATTTTTTGTTGTTGCAGAGTAACATTGCAAAAGGTATTTTGTTTTATTTAGGGGGAGGGGAAGTCTTCGGTTTGCTACTTCCTGTCATGCTCATTCAATGGCTGTATGAAATTGGCCACTGCAAAAAAAGTTTAATATGAATAGATGTTGCTTAGAATTTCTAGTCCAGATTACCATTTTGTTTGTAAATAGGCACCTTGAGTAGCCTTGCATGGTATTTATTATGCTATAAAATTTCCATTTACCAGAGTAAGGACTCAGGACATGCATTAATTTAAGATCTGAGTTAGGAAATCACTGTCTTATGGTACTGTCTTTGTCTTTTGAAAGTAGGCTTTATTTTTTTCTGTGTTAAGATGCCATTATGTTGTGAATGCAAATAATAGCCTATTTAAACCTACTTGAACCCATTCCTATATTTCATGCATATTTATCTGGAAAATAATTATTCCATGCATAATTTCTGAAATAGGGAATTTTCCCCATTGGTTTTCCCAAACAAAACAAAACCCATCTATAGAATAGGAGACGCAGTCCCCCTCCAAAGTCCATGGATAGAACTGAACTAGGGTGAATATTATACTTTTTTTTATAACTATGATTAAACTTAACACATGCTGGAAGGAAGGTTTATTTTGTTGGAACCGTCAGGAGGTGTGTATCTTGCAAGTTTTCAGATATGCAGAACAAAAGAGGCCACAATGGTTTAGAAGAATGTCAGGTATGAATTATCTCTGCTTTCATTCCTGTTTTTTTTTTTCCAGAGCCTCATACACCTGCAGCCCTATGTTTGGAGCGGTCGGGAACTCGGCTCCCGGAAGCGTTCGTATTTTTGTCCGATCTGCCCTCGTGTCTTCCTTGACAAGAAACAGAAGGCCATTGAACACAGCCAGCAGCATACCATGGAGAAGCCTTACCAGTGTTTCACCTGTTTAAAGAGGTTTGCAAGGAAGACCAATCTTCAAAATCATGCCATTAAAGCACACCAGAGCAAGAATTAAATATCTGGAATGTCCCATAAATTATTTTTCTGGGCAAGAATTCATTGTGGTCATGGCTTCATTTATTAACTGTTCTGTGAATCATGTATCACCAGTGATGACTTTAATGTTCTGTGTAGTCCCAATGGAATGTATGCAAATCAAGAACGTGTGAATGAAGATACTATCTCAATCAAGAAGTTACATGTATGAAAACCAAGCCATCTGCAATTTTCTGGATGAGAACATCTTTTCCTATTTCACTTAAAAGAGTGTCCTCATCAAATAATGTTCAAGATGAAAATTGTGTCTACTGTAAAAGAGCACCTAAGACATGAACATTTGGAGTGTCCTAGTGATGGCCTTTTCAGTGCTGGAGGATGCTATAGATATAACTTGTGATTTTTTTAGCTGTGGAGGAAAGCCACAAAAAGCTTCTTTTATTTCAGTAATCCTTCAAAGAGTTAGGCCAGACTGAATCTCATGTATTTTGTTCCCCGATCTGCATTTACTCTTGGTTTTGGAATTGCTTCTGATATTCCAGAATATAAGTAATGAAGCACTGATGTTGATTATATTTCTTAATGGATATTATATAACCGTTGTCGAGCCTTGTGCTGAAGGTCTGCACTAAAGACGAATATAAAGATTCCTTTCTGAGGGAAAAAAAAAAAATTAATTCCCCAGATTTTATGTGCTATGGGTGAATGGTGGATGGAGGGAAACTGCAGCTAGTATAATGTAGTCAGGGCATTGTGTACCATATCCAGGTGGCTGGAGTGTTTTGTCCCTCCGTCCCAAACTCTCCTGGTGAAGTGCTGAAGGGGGAAAGACAGGGTGGGGGGGGGGGGAAGGAGATTGAGCGAGAATTTCAGTACCATAGCATAGGACATAACCAACAGAAAAGGAGTAGCCGGTTCGTATATCACTTTCGCCCCCCCCCCCCCCCTTGCCCCGTGCGGTAATTGGCACAGCCAGTACGTGATTGAATTGCGAGAAATAGTTGAGAATTTATATATAAAAAAGAAACACAACTATTTTAAAAACAATAGAAAAAGGAGGCTGAATCCAGCATCACGGATGGAAGGCGTGTAGGAGAATAGGGAGAAATACTAAGAAGAACTCAGTAGAGTAAGAAGATCCCAACTGGATGGCCCTCGGCGGAAATCCTAATCAGATGATCCAAATACCCCCGAGGAGGAGGCTCCAGTAAGAGGATTGCTGCTACTCCCTCGACGGCTAGAGAAACCAACCGTGAACACATCACAAGGCATAGTGAACACCGAAAGGTACCAAGATGATACTTACGGAGTACAGCCGGAGGAAGAAACGTCGAGGCAAGGACCCCTTCCTCCTGGAAAATGGAGAGGGCCTGTCCCCAGAGAGCAGGAGACAGTTGCTCATGAATGGGGGCGACTCGACGTGACCCCGATGCTGACATGTAGCAAGCAACTACTCGTGCCAGCCATGGATTGCTCACCATTACCATGAACTTCTCCGATGCTGTACGAAGGAAAGGAATTATGACCTGGAATTCACTTAAGGTTCCTCGATTACAAGTTTAGGGCATTCGATACCGAATTGATACAATTACTAGCTTTGTATCGACGCAGAACAAAACATCCGGTTAATTATTCTAATTGGGCTGACTTTGCTCAGTCGAGCGCCTGCAGATAGCGACAACGTCGCCTCGAGACGAAGCGCAAGAATTCTATGCTGCCTTAAAAAAAATTTTTTTCAGCACCTTGTCATGAATTTGTTTCAAAGAATACTCTGACGATAAAAGATTACGGGAAAATCGACAAAATTAATTGTTACGAAGTTCCGAGTCGAGGGAATACGTGCACGTCCTTTCTGCTCGTAACCCGAAAAAAAAAATCTCCCACCCAACATTTCGTGAACAAACTTCCCGACACCGAGTGCCCGAGGCAGGGGAAATTTCCCTCGTTTTGCTCCGTCATTCCGGTTCTTCGCCGCGGAGAGGCGAAATCGCACCGGCAGCCATCGGGCGAGAGGCGCCAGAACTTAGCTCAAAACTTGTCGCAGAAACGCAAAAATTTCTGGGAATCGAGCGAGTTGAAAAGTCGGTACACGAGGTAAGCTCTGGACAAGTTAAGGCACTTTTTTTCATTTCGTATGCAGATTTCACACGGATAAAATAAAGTATTACATTGCAAGCGATCATCCTCGAGCCCTTTGAATGCTCGTAAGATGACAAAAATGACGTTACCCAAAAGTCCAGAGATCAGATTTACTCATGCCTCTCGATCTCGGGATCTCCATCGGCTTCATATCCGGAGACGAACGCGTCGACGCGGCGCACCGGTTCCAGGATTCGCTATCGGGCTCCGAAGCGCCGGTTTCGGTCGTGGCGCTGCGACGTGGGACCGTCGAGAGGATCTTTCCTCGATCGGGTCCGTATCGTCGAGGTCACCAGGGAAGCGAGTAAGAGGAAAAAAAAATAGGTCGGGGATGGAATGTCCTCGACGGAGAAAAAAAGAGCAAAGGCTCACGCGATGTGTCTCGCAAGCGGACCCCAGTGGCCCCACTAAGGGGGGGGAAAAGGGTCTTCCCCATCGCGTCGCAGCAGAAATTTCGCTGACAGAAAAGTTTCCGTTTCGCGTCGTACATCCCCCCGCCCCCTCCCTTTCCTATTCCGTTGCAACCTCGAGATTCTCTCTTCGGATCGCGGCGGAGGGCAGCGTGCGTGCGTGCAGGGAAATGCCTAACTCGTGCCCTGTTGCGCCAGACTACCTTCAGAGCCCTATCGACATTACGTAACGGGTCCCGGCCCCTCTGCCTCGAGACACCCTCTCCCTTTTCCTGGAATTCGAGAAGGCCCCTCTTCAGTGGCGTATTTTACGTGGGAGGGGGCGACCGCCACCCTGATATCACTCGGGTGGTGTACGATGCTCTGCTGCCCTGCCCCCCCCCCCCTCCCCCTCCCCACCTGTGACTCTTCAGCTTACGCCACTGCCCCCCTCCGTACGCGTTGCCTGTATCGAGCGTTCGCGTATCCTCGAAAAAGCGACGAGCACGGAGGCTTCTGCGCTTCCTCGGCAGGAATGTAGCTCCCGAGCGGCGTCGGGCTTCACCGGAAACCGAGGACACCGCGCTCACGAGATTCCCAACTCGCGAAAAAAAGAAGTGGACTCACGGAATCGATGCAAGAGCCGGACCGCACGATGCATGGCATCCTGAAGCGAGGCCATCCCCTCTTCTGATCCGGTCGCCCGTCTCGTCTCACCTCAACCCCCCCCTCCCCCCCTTCCCCTTATCCGGAAAGCTCCTCGAATGCCGAACTTTCAGCCTTCCCTGTATGCCGATTTTACTCTCGTTCGCGAATGCCGATGGAAGTTTCGTCCTTTAATGCCGACTGGGACGATGAGAAATGCCTCTCCACTCTGGATGATTCCGGGAATGCCGAATTCCACTTTCGGTGTAGAGGTATAGAGGAACAGGTCGGCGGAAAAGGACAACCCTTTGGGGCATTATCCTCGAATGCCGACTCAAAACAAAAAAAAAAAACATTTTCTTTGCATTTCCCCC